TTGTGCTCACTGCCCTCGAACCATCATGAGTGAAAGGCCCCCTGAGTTCTGTGGGGTGGGGAGGCATGGGGAGGCAAGCTCCTCTTCCTGGATCACTGGTTCGCCTAGCTAAATTCCACATCCTTTACAACCCAGCTTAATATTTACTCCTCTGGGAAGAAAACTCACTGTGTCATTCTCCCACAAAAATAGAAAACATAACTTCTCAGGAATCCAACCTTTGAGTGGGTTAGTTGGAATGGACCATCTCTTTCTGAGGGTCTGCAGTCACTGAAAGCGAAGGAGTGAGAGTCAAGGGAAGTATACCAGCTATCCATCAAGTATGCATTCAGTGGTGAGCTAGAGTTGACCAGAAGGTTTGGGACAAGATGCAGTAGGAATGCAGGAAGGAAAAGGATGAGCCCTGGCCCGTGTGGCTCAGTTGGTTGAATGTGGAACCATGCATGGAAAGGTCACTGATTCACTTCCCAGGTAGGGCACATGCCCGGGTTGTGGGCTCGATCCCCAGCGTGGGGCATGCAGGGAGCAGCCCATCAGTGATTTTCTCTCATCCTTGATATTTCTATCTTTATCTCCCTCTCCCTTCCTCTCTGAAATCAATAAAAATCTTTTTTTAAAAAATGGTCAAAGTAACTAATCATCAGAGAGATGCAAATTAAAACTACAATGAGGTATTACTTCACACCTGTCAGGATGGCTACTATCAATAATCAGCAAACAAGTGCTGGCAAGGATGTGTAGAAAAGGACCCTAGTACATGCTGGTGGGAATGCAGACTGGTGCAACCACTGTGGAGACCAGCATGGAGTTTCCATAAAACATAAAAAAAAAAAAAAAAAATGGAACTACATTTTGACCCAGTAAAACCCTTCTGGGTATATATTCTAAGAATCCCAAAATACCAATCCGAAATAATATATGCACCTCTATGTTCACAGCAGCATCATTTACAATAGCCAAGATCTGGAAACAGCCCAAGTGCCTATCAGTAGATGAGTGGATAAAAAAGCTATTGTACATTTGTGCAATGGAATACTACTCGGCTGTATAAAAGAAGGAATTCTTACCCTTTGCAGCAGCATGGATGGACCTGGAGAGTATTATGCTAAGCGAAATAAGCCAGCCAGAGAAAGACAAATACCATATGATCTCACTAATATTTAGAATCTAATGAACAAAATAAACTGATGAACAAAATAGAACCAGAGGCATGGATACAAGGAATAGACTAACAAATGTCAGAGAGGAGTGGGTTGGGGGACTGGATAAAGGAAGGTGAAAGGATTAGCTTTTTATTAATAGCTACCTGATGTTATATACTATTTTTTTCAATTTTTTTCCTGTTTTTGTTTATTATTTTGCTTTTGTCTCATTACACTCAGGGAAAACAGGGAGTTTGATAATGTTGTCTAATATTTCTGTGAGCAGTTCCAAATTGTGTTACTATAATCCCCCCTCTCCCCCATATTTCTGTTCTGGATTTCACTGGGAACTGTCTCCTCCAAGGGAAGATCAGTGAGGGGGTCTGAGAGGCAGAGCAGGGCATGGTGGCTGATGTCATTCAGGAGGAACAGGGAGCTCCTCCAGCCAGAATTCTAGAATAGCTTAACTGGATGGGGCAATGCTTGTTTGTTTGTTTTTTATAAATTCACTTTTATGTGTTTACTAGTTTTAGTTCTGAGTCTCATGCTGGTTTGAGTTGTCTCAAGTGAAAATTTTACATGAAAATTCCATACTCGGGTGCCCTTCTACAGTTGTTATTTTTGTTGTTTTGTTGATCCTCATCCATGGATATTTTTTCCATTAAATTTTTTATCTATTTTTTAGAGAGAGAGAATGAAAAGGAGAGCGTGAGAGAGAGCAAAAAACACACCACATTGATATATCTCTCACATGAATTGGTTGCCTCCTGCACGCCCCTGCAACCCAAGTATATGCCCTTGACCGGGAATTGAACCCGAGACCCTTTGGTCCACATGCCAGTGCTCTAACTACTGAACCATGCTGGCCAGGGGTACCCCTCTATGGTTTTATTATAGCAATGTGCACATCAAGTGAAATCTAGACAATAATAATTAAAGTAGAAGTGTATCTGTAAACAAGGTAAAATTTTTATTCATATCTGTTCAAGCTACAAATAGGTGAAATCATCTGCATCCTTCCAATTCAATCAGCTGGGGATTTCTTTTTATTATTTAAAGAGCTCATAATTGATCTATTTCTGTTAGTCTAGTTTTTATACTCTGAAAGAAATGTATTAATATACTTTCTTGCCTTCCCACAGACGGATTTGGTAGTCTGGTTTTATAATATGTCCTTCCATAATTTTCTGAGATTTGCTGAGAAGCATTTTGGACACATTCCCTTAAACTCCAAATCACAACCTCTCTGCAGAAATATGCTCCTTCTTCAGTCTTACAGTAATTTAGTTTACTGAACAAGAAATTCCAAATTATTGAAAATATTTTGTCTAAAAGAATTTGAGACAGAAAGTTTCTGAACTCTCATTTGAAGTAGTTTGGTTGAGTTCATAATTCATTTTTGTGAGGGGCTTGGGGCATAAGTTTTGTGAGGACACACAATCTTGACTATTTCTCGCCCCCCCCCCCCCCCCCCCCCCCCAGTCTTCTGGTACACATTTCTAGTGGCATCTCTTCTGAGGTAACATTGGGTGCTGATTGAACATTTGCTCTAACTTGTGCAAAAGGCTTCTTGCTAGAAATTGATTTGTTGAGTTTTAAAATGCCTCTTAGAATAAGAATCCCCATTAAATTTCATCTTGGAAAAAGAGCAATATGTTTGATTGACATCGCCAGGAATGTCTGTATGCTGCATATGTACAATTTTTTGTAGTCATTATATTGAACATGCCTCATTTGGAGAGTATGACCTTGAGTTGTCATTGCTTTAGAAAACATGGACTGGTTAGGACATCCATTAATGTCCTAGAACAAATGCTATAGCAGAATCCCCAAGGGAGACGGGGATTTTACTGGTCTCTGGACACAGGAATCCATTTGTTGGAGCGTATGCAGAGTGTGATGAGCTGTAAAATGAAGTTAATTTCTGTGCCAGACCAAACTAGGTGAAAGACCCAGCAACTGGGTAAGATGAAGGCTGCATTCCCTCCGGAGGGAAAAATAATGGCATTTTCTCAGATATTGTCACCTGAGTGTGTGGTTTATTTGACAAGGCCCATATAGAACAATAAAGAGGAACGTAATTTAACCAGGAGCCCCAAGTCTGTGTCTAGGAAGCCCTCATTGTGAAATTTTTATTTCAGGTTGGACTTCATGCAGAGTAGAAGAAAAGAGGACAATACCTTATTGCTAAAAGCATCCTGTAAGTGACAAAGCTATTAATACCCTTCTTGTGAGTTGTTATAGTGGAGAGTTTTAAAACAGAACTGGCATTTTTCTATCTTCCTTTTGGGGTACTGATTATTGAAGCTGGCACAGCAAAATGCTTTTGTTTTATATTTACTAGTAGGAGTTAATTTTGTTGAAGTTGGGGGGTATTTTTCAGGATGAGAATCTTTTTAAGTTAATAGTTTATTTTCTTCCATGTAAAGTTTCCCCCTCCTACTTACAGTTGTCCTATTGTTTGTAAACACAACATACACTATATTAGAAGCAAAGCCCGCATTTTAATCCCCCCCCCCGCCCCCCCGCCGCCACTCAGTCATAATTGTTTTGTAAGCAGAGTATTAGCCTTACCATAATGCCCAGTATGAAAATTCAGCTTGGAGATTTTTATATTGTTGTATTTAAAATTCCACCTATTTTTGCATATCAAGGAACTTACCTCCTATTTTCTGACTCGTGGGTGCTGTAAAAATTAAGAGCATAGACATAAGAGATAGATATAATCACTTGTGTGATTTCGGACAGCAAACTGCTCTGAGCTCAGTTCCCTATTTGTAAAATGAGGAGGATGATTCCTACCACACGGGCTTTTTGTGCGTGTTAAATAAGATATTTTATAAGTTCTTAGACCAAAATCTGGTTCAAATATAGTGGTATCTTTTCCAATAACTGTATGATATTATTTCTTTTTGAAAATCGGATTATAGTTTATTTTTAAAACTTTAAATGCCCCGTTCAAAATTTTACCTTCCAAACATAATGTTTTATGTGCCTGGTTCTGTTTAAATACTTTTTGGTGGATTTCATTATCAGCCTCGTTGCACAGATGAGGAAATTGAAGTACAGAGAGAAAAAGTAATTTGCTCAAGTGGAAGGCAGACCTATGAATCTACACAGGCATCCCTTGCAGAGGTCTTTTTATTCTTAAATTTTCAATTTTTTGAATAGGTAAGACAGTCACATGGTTTAAACATAAAATATATGAAATAAAAAAACATACAATGAAATATTTTTCCACTTCCTTTGCCTCCCATTCTCATAAGCAACCAGTTACTAGCTTTGTAGGTGTCCTCCAGAGTTTTGTTACGCATGTGAGGCAAATAAATATCTGTGTCTTTTTCCCTCCCCATTTTCTTCTATATGAACTTTTAAAATTTATCAAAAATGTCTGCAAAACCTTTTCCCATCAGAACCTAGAGCATTTTCTCATTCTTTTTTAGAGCTGTGTAATTCTCCATTGTATGATACAGTATAGTTTACTTCGTTCATCTATTGATGGCCATTGTTTCTGATCTTTGCTGTCATAATTAATGCAGCAAATGCATAACCATGTATGAAAGTATAATTAGATGCATCCAGATGTGGTTAAATACTGTTCTCATGTGTAGTATTGATAGACATTGCCAAATTGCAGTCCAATGTGAGAGGTTGTGCATTCCCTCCAGGAATTTACAATCGGACTACAGTTTACATACAGGTACAGACTATGGCTGCAGCATCACTGGGAGCAGCATGTGATTGTTAGGGTGACTGCTGCAGCGAAGGAGTGAATGGGCATGGGGAGGCAGCGCTTGAGGCTGGACTGCAAGATTGTGGAGGGCCTTAAGGAGGCAGGAAGTCTTCAGCAAGCTGGTCTTTTTTTTTTTTTTTTTGAAGGTTTTATTTTTTATTTTATGTACAAAGTGATAGCATTCTGTCATAAGGTAGATGTCTTGAACGACCCATTCATGGAAGTTCTCTTAGTCCAACTTAATGAAGCCTATGTCCTTCGCGTACTGCCGGAAACACTGGCGGCACATGTTGAGGCCATACTTCTGGATCAGACCGTGGCGGTTTGAGCAGACGCGGCAAGAATGAGAACCGTGGCCGAATTTCCTCCGATGGCTCCAGTAGTGTTGCTGGTGACCCATCTTGCTCACTCTGTAGCAATGAGGCAAAAGGAAGCTTTTTAAAAAAATAAGTCTTTATTGTTCAGATTATTACAGTTGTTCCTCTTTTTTCCCACCATAGCTCCCCTCCACCCGTTCCCACTCCACCCCATGCCCTTACCCTCACACTGTCCTCGTCCATAGGTGTATGATTTTTATCCAGTCTCTTCCCGCACCCCCCACACCCCCTTCCCCCAAGAATTGTCAGTTCACTTCCTTTCTATGCCCCTGATTCTATTATATTCACCAGTTTATTCTGTTCATCAGATTTTTTTATTCACTTGATTTTTAGATTCACTTGTTGATAGATATGTATTTGTTGTCACTTTGTTGTTCATAATTTTTATCTTTACCATTTTCTTCTTCTTCCTCTTCTTAAAGGATACCCTTCAGCATTTCATATCATACTGGTTTGGCAGTGATGAACTCCTTTAGCTTTATCTTATCTGTGAAGCTCTTTATCTGACCTTCAATTCTGAATGATAGCTTTGCTGGGTAAAGTAATCTTGGTTGTAGGTTCTTGGTATTCATCACTTTGAATATTTCTTGCCACTCCCATCTGGCCTGCATAGTTTCTGTTGAGAAATCAGCTGACAGTCATATGGGTACTCCCTTGTAGGTAACTGAGTTTCTTTCTCTTGCTGCTTTTAAGATTCTCTCTTTGTCTTTTGCTCTTGGCATTTTAATTATGATGTGTCTTGGTGTGGTCCTCTTTGGATTCCTCTTGTTTGGGGTTCTCTGCACTTCCTGGACTTGTAAGTCTATTTCTTTCACCAGGTAGGGGAAATTTTCTGTCATTATTTCTTCAAATAGGTTTCCAATATTTTGCTCTCTCTTCTTCTGGCACCCCCATAATTCAGATATTTGGTATGCTTGAAGTTGTCCCAGAGGTTCCTTACACTATCTTCATATTTTTGGATTCTTTTTGCTTTTCCAGTTGGGTGTTTTTTGCTTCCTCGTATTTCAAATCTTTGACTTGACTCTTGAGGTCCTCTAGTCTGCTGTTGGATCTCTGTATATTATTCTTGATTTCAGTCAGTGTATGCTTAATTTCTAATTGGTCCTTTTTCATATCCTTGAGGATCTCACTAAATTTCTCAGAGGTTTCTAGAAGATTCTTGAGTAACCTTATAACCATGGTTTTGAACTCTATATCCAGTAGTTTGCTTTCCTCCATTTATTTCGTTTGTGACATGTTTCTTTGTCTCTGCATTTTGGCTGCTTCTCTGTGTTGATAGAGTGGCTTTGTGTGCTAGGTATCCTATAGGGCCCAGTGGCTCAGCCTCCCTAATTACCTGAGGTGGACACTCTTGGTGCAACCCTTTGTGGGCTCTGTACACAGTCTTGTTGTAGTTAAGCCTTAATTGTTGTTGGTATCACTGGGAGGAATTGACTTCCAGGCCAATTGGCTGTGAGGACCAGCTGTGTCTACAATGAGAGAACTGCTGTGCAGGAGACACCCTTATGGGGCAGGACTTGCTTTGGGGGGCTTTGGTGCTCACTGAGTCTGCCCCCTGAGTGTGTCTCTTGTGGATCTGAAGAGTTGCATTCTGGTATGGTCTCACACTGACCCCTGGGTACACTGGCTCTTGGATCTCCAAGGAGGTGCAAAGTCAGACACTGCCTGAGGCCACCCAGCAGGAGCTACAGAGAGATCTGCAGGTTCCTCCTCTTTGTTTGGGGTTTGGAAGTCCTCAGATGAGGCCCAGCTGTGAAGCAATGCAGGCTGCTGTCAAGCCTTAGGCCTTCTTTTGGAAGCTTTGGTGCTCTTTGACCCAGCAGCAGTTTGTTAGATTTTAGATTGCAAAAGAACAGGCCATTCATATGCAAAAGCCGCTGCACACAGCTTGGGTGGGGTTGTAAATTGGGTGGGGCAGGGTCTCAGGGAATCACCAGGGCAGAGCAAACAGCAATGGCTGCCAGTAAACCCTGCCCTAGAGAGGTCCCTGGGTCTCTGTGTCCCGCAGGCCCGTGCAGGAACAATGATTGCTGCAAGCACCTCTGCAAGAAAGCCGCCCTTGTGTTCCTGTCCCAATGCCAAACAGTCCAGTTTCTCCCCGTATGAGTCTGGGTCCTCAGAGTCTCACCCGGAACTGGAGTTCAGAGCAATTGGGAGCTTGTATCTTCCTCCCGATTGAAAAAGACAACAGCGCACCCAGTTGCCAGCCCATTTCCACGTGCGCCTCTGAACCTCCGCACTTCCACACCTCCTCTGAGTCTCAGTGCACTTTTCTCTTTCCTTCTAGTTGTAGAACTACCGCTCAGCCAGCCTTCCTATGGTTCTGGATGATGTCCATTTTGTCTTTTAGTTGTAGTTTTGATGTGGTTGTGCGCGGCAGCAAGTACCTATGCCGCCATCTTGGTTCTCTCTCAGCAAGCTGGTCTTTAAAGGTTGAGTTTGCACTTGTGGCGGGGGGGAGAAATGGAGTTCAGGTTAGACTAACGTCAGGTAAAGGGCCTCTTCTGGCTTCTGAGAGCCTTGAATGCCATGATGAGGAATTTGGAATTTTATCCTGTAGACAAGGGAGAAATGCTGGAGGCTTTTGGAGAAACAAGAGAAAAGTTGTGTTGTGGGATGCTTAGTCTGGAGGTCTATTACAGACTGGAGAACCAGGCATTTAGAAATAAAACCAGCCTTGAAGCTGGACATCAGGGTTCCAATCAACCCTGGAGGGCAGCCAGTCTCTCTCCTGTTCCCCACAGTGGCCATTCCGCACCTTTACCACTTCCCTCAGGTGCCACACTTTACATTAGGATGTGGTGAGAGGAGCCCTGGCATGTAGCAGGTGATCAATAACATAGGGGTTGGATGACTGATAGAAAAGCATTGGCTTTGGAATCATGTCTAGGCGGTAAGCCCGGTATCTATTTTAGGTTCCCTAGAAAAGAGAGCCTGAAGTAAGGCTGACGTATTGGTTCTTTCTTGGGAGGCGGGACCCCAGGGCAAGAAGAGTGAGGAAAAATGAGGCAGGGAAGGATGGGAAGAAAATGCAAGGTGATGTGTGTCTAACCCTGCTGTAGGAAGATACAGGAGCTCAGCCACAGGCGCTTCTTCGGGGGACTATGCAGAAACATGTCTGAGAAGCTATCTCAGAAGGGGAAGGAAGAGGGACTTCATCTGAGGTCCGTAGGAAGGTGGCTGTGCATTTCTGGGCTGTGTCCCCGGCCCCTTGGTAGCCACTGGGAAAGCTGTGCAGCCTGATGCTTCAGCTAAGGCGGGAAGTTGTGGGCAGCTGGTGGCCTCAGGTGGAGCAAGTAGCCAAGGACTCCAGAGTCAGGCGTGGCCCAGATGAGCTGAGGTGGCCAGACCGAGGTATCCAGTGGGCCAGGTAGGAGATTTACCCTCTCTGATAGCAAAGAAATTACTCTCTTTTTGTTCACTTTCCCTAAAGATGATGTTTGCCTTTAGGATTAGTGTGGAAATTAAGTGAAACAATGACAATAATAATGATAAATGGTGTATGATAATATCATCTAACATTTACTGAGCATAGACTATGCTCCAGGCATGGTGCTAAGCATTTTATATGCATTAATTTATATAATCTAAACAATAATCCAATGAGGTAATATTTATTGTTTCATTAGTAGATGAGGAAATAAAGGTTTAAAAAGGTCATGCAGCTAGTGAGTGGCAGAGCCCAGATATGAATCTAAGTCTGGGTGACTAAAGAGTGCGAACACATAACTGGTACGCTCTGTTCCCATTTGTTCATTTATTTGTTGATTCATTTTCTCACCAAATATTTTTTGAGAACCTATTAGGTGTGTTCTAGGTGCATGGGACACCTGTAAACCAAACCACAATCTTCACTCTCATGGAACTTAAATTCTAGCGATACGGAGTGGGGGAGACATTGGCCAGAGGACAGACATGGGGAATGAGGAGATGTGTTGTGTGTCAGAAAACAGCAAGTGCTGTGCGGCCTGAGTGCACTGAAAGGTTGCCAGTTCGATTCCCAGTCAGGGCACAATCCCAGGTTGGGGCATATATGGAAGGCAATCGATCAATCTCTCTCTCTCTCTCTCTCTCTCCCTCTCCCTCTCCCTCTCCCCCCTCTCCTCCCTCTCTCTTCCTCCCCTGCTCCTTCCCTTTCTCTGTCTAAACAAGTTCATGGGTGAGGATTAAAACAATTAATTAATCACATATTAATTAAATAAATAAGAGCCAGCCTGTGTATCTCGGTAGTTGAGTATTGACCCATGTACCAGGAGGTCGCTACTTCAATTCTTGGTCAGGACACATGCCCAGGTTTTGGGCTCGATCCCCAGCAAGGGCATGCAGGAGGCAGCCGATCCATGTTGATACTTCTCTCTCATCAATGTTTCCATCTCTCTTCCTCCCCCTCCTCTCTAAAAAAAGGAAAAAATCAATAAAAACATATATTTTTTAAAAGAACGAAAATAGCAAGTGCTGTGGAAAAAAGCGAAGTCCAGCAGGCCAGGGAGACCGGGATACAGACAAGTGGTAATCTGACAAAGGCGGTCAGGCAGGCCTCAGCAAAGGTTAGGGGTCATGGGAGGATGCAGCAGGGAGTCTGCAGTCTGAGGAGCAGGAGTTTAAGGGAATGGGGGTGTAAAGTACAGTACAGAGCAGCGGTTCTCAACCTGTGGGTCGTGACCCCTGAAAATACATCCTGCATATCAGATATTTACATTATGATTCATAACAGTAGCAAAATTACAGTTATGAAGTAGCAACAAAAATAATTTTATGGTTGGGGGTCATCACAACATGAGGAACTGTATTAAAGGGTCGCGGCATAAGGAAGGTTGAGAACCACTGGTATAGAGAGTATAGTCAATAATATTGCAATAACTATGTATGGTGACTGAGGGTACTAGGTTTATTGGAGAGGGATCACTTCATAAGTTATATGAATGTCTAACAAGTGAGCTGTATACCTGAAACTAATATAATATTGAATGTTAATGGTAATTGAAAAATATTTCAAGTCTTCAGGGAAAACTGTGATAGAGGG